TTTAGGGGGGCCTACTCTGGTAGCATAGTGGCTAAAGCACTTGACTGCTAACCAGAAGGCTGGCAGTTCAAACCCACCAGCCACTTCTCGGAAGGAAGGTTGGGCAATCCTACTTCCATAGTGATACTGCCTCGGAAACCCAAGGAGGGGTCGCTATGAGTCGGGACCGACTCGACGGCACATAACAACAACAACAACAACAAAATGTTAAGTATAGAATTACCATACGATCCAGCAATTCCATCCTACTTATATACCCAAAGGAATTGAAAGCAGAGACTCAGATACCTGTACACCAATGTTCATAACAGCATTATTCATAGTAGCCAAAATGTAGAAACAATACAAATGTCCATCAATCGTGTGAGTCATTTCCTTGAGATCTATCTATCTATCTATCTATCCATCCATCCCCTTCACTGGTTTTGCTTCTCTAAAGAGCCCAGCCCAGGACATTACACAATGGAATATTATTAACCACAGGGAAGAATGAAGATCTGATACATGCCACAACACAGATGGACCTTGGAAACATTATGCTAAGTGCAAAAAGTCACATATCAAAGGACAAGTGTAAGTATCTAGAACAGGTAAATTAATAGAGAAAGAAAGTAGATCAGAGTTTACCAAGGGTTGGAGGGTAGGAGGAGTTACTGCTTAATGGATAGTTTCTGTTTGAGGTAACGAAAAGATTTTGGAAACAGATAGTGATAAAGGTGGTATAACAAAGTGAATGCAATTAATACCATTGAACTGTACACTTAAAAATGGTGATTATGGTAAAATTTAGATTATATATATTTTACCAAGGAGCTCTGGTAGCATAGTGCCTAAGGCACTTGACTGCTAACCAGAAGGCTGGTGATTCAAACCCACCAGCCACTCCTTGGAAGGAAGGTTGGGCAATCTTCTTTGGTAGTGATACCACCTCAGAAACCCAAGGAGGGTTGCTATGAGGCAAGTCCAACTCGATGGCACATAATAACAATAAAAACAACATATTTTACCATAATAAAATCTGAAAACATAACACAGATGTTTTTAAGTATACAAATGGCATATGGTTTCATAATTTACCAAGATATGAAAGGATCAAGGTGGAACAGACAGGAGAGGGAAAGGAAGCTAAATTAAGTTATAGTTAAACCACTGCCATTGAGTCAATTCTGACTCATAGCAACCCCCACTGGGTTTCTAAGGCAGTAAATATTTACGGAAGTAGATTGCCCCATCTTCCTTCCATGGAGTGGTGGATTTGAACCACCAACCTTCTGGTTAGCAACCAAATACCTTAGGCACTGAGCCACCAAAGCTCCTTAAATTTTAGTTAGGACATATTAAATTTTAAGATTTAAGATGTTTAAGATTTAGTCTTTAAGGATCTAATAAGCTGTGGCATGTGAGTCTGGAATTCAGGGTAGAAGTTCAAATTTGTCAACAAACATTTGGGAGTAATCAATATTAAAAAGAAAAAAAAATAGCTGTTGAGTTGATTCTGACTCATAGGGACCCTACAGGACAGAGTAAAACTGCCCCATAGGGCTTACCAAGACTAATCTTTATGGAAGCAGATTGCCATATTTTTCTTCTTCAGAGTGACTGGTGGGTTTGAACTACTGACCTTCTGGTTAGCAGCTGAGCTCTTAACCTACTGCATCACCAGGGCTCCTTATCAATATATAAACCCACTATCCAGTGCCATCAAGTTCATTCCAACTCACAACAACCCCTATAGGGTTTCCAAAGCTGTAAATCTTTACAGAAACATATTAAAAGCTAACGAAATTGATGCAATCACCCAAGGACAGAGTGTATGCAGAAAAGTGAAAAGGGTCAGAACTGAGTGGTTCAAGTGTTTCAAGAAAGGAGTGACAAACAAATGCAACTGGAACAAAAGCTCTTGTAAATACTAACAGAGAAGTTGCCTTTGACAAAAAGTTTCAGTGGGAAAGGGGATAAAAGATTGGTCAGGAGGAGAAATAAACGGAATATGGTAAGAAAATGGAGATACTGTATATAAGTAATTCTTTCGGGAACTCTGTTATAATGGAGCAGATAGATAGAAGGCAGTAGCTGGAGGGGGATGTGGAACAGTTAAGAGAGAATTTTTTAATATAGGAAATAAAAACAGAACATGTTTGAAGATGGTAAAAGGAACAATTCAGTAGAAAAGGCAATAATAATGACGTAGGAGAAGAAGCAAAGTCTTTGAGAAGCTGGAAAGGGAACTGTACTACCTAGTCTTTGATAAGAATAGACACATTTCTTCCAGAATATGTTTGTTTTTACCACAGACAGTGTGAATGAGTATAGATGCTGGGAAGCTGGGAGAGTCAATAGTAGGAAGATGAGTGTATTCCCTTCTAATGGCTTTTGTTTTCAGTATGAAGAATGAGAGAAGGTGATCAGCTGGGGGTAAGGTGAGGCCAAAGGGCAGTGTTGGAAGTTTGAGGGAAAACATGAAGATACAAAGTAGATACTTTATATAGCTGGAGAGCAAAATGTTAAGAGACTGCTCTGACACATAGTATGGAGTGCCCACTGACACTTGTGGTCATAACTTTCTGCACTATCATTAAGTGATTCAGATAAAGACTAAGAGAAGGCAAATAATTAGGTTCAGCCGGAGTTGGAGTTTTGGCAGGCAAGTTTTCACATTCCTAATGTTTCTTTTTTCACAATAGTGAAAATAACAGAAGAAATCCAAGGGATATGAAGGAAAGGCAAAATATTTACATAAAGAGTTGACCACAGCAAGGCAAGCACAGACAAAAGTAAAGTCTTCATTTTCTCCATCTCTATGCAAGGTAGAAATAGAAACCATGGCTCAAAGTACTCCCAGCTACTATATTTACCAAATAGACTTCTACTATCCCAAAACTTATCTATACCTAGGCTATGGTATGTACTGAAGAGATTGGAGAAAAACAATTAAAGTTCTTATTGTTGGAACGTTAGACTCTGGGATAATGGAAGATCTATAATTTAACAAAACAATTACAGACATAACTTTTAAATATTACATCTAACATCGAATTTTCCTCAACAGCAATACTGTTCAGGCATCAAGGACATATTCCAATATAATTTAGTCAGTCAAAATTCCCCCAATAACTTTTCAGCTAAACATATTTAATTTCTTTGAAAAATTTATGTTCAAAGATGCTAAATAATGTTCAATGCTCACATGATCATCATAAGATGGTATACAGTCTGCTTCAATGATTTAAATGTCTAGTATTTCATAATTACATTAACTATTGAAAGGGATTTAGTAATTTAAAATGTAGTACTATGTGTTAAATACCTATCACCAACAAAGAAAAAATGAATTCTAAACCAAGTAAGTCTTTTACTCAGAGATGTATCTAAGCAACAAGTGAAATTAGTTGATAAGAATCAGTAGAATTTAAACATGAGTTAGAGAATATCTTCTTGTTTTCTTTATAACTCATAATTATTACAAAGAATGCTGTCACTTGAAAATTTTTCCTTGTTTTTAACAATTTTACCAAGCAAAGTCTTAACTAAACCTTCCCCTACTTCCCAAACCTTCCAAAATACTTTATTTTCCCTGAAACAGACATGCTAACCATGCTGACTATAGAGTGTGGAAAATCTAACTTTGTACCTCAGCTTCAGCATGTTATTATGGATAAAATGCACACAAATGTTAACAGTTATGCAAGTGACTCTGGCTTCTATTCCTATGAAAACTGAAAATGAATTACCAAAAATAGGATATACTGGTAAAAAAGTGCTTAATTTCAAACACCCCAAATTTGGTGATCTGGCGTCAACTTTTACAGAAGCAAGAAAAAAGTGACAGCTTGATAGCTCAGCTATTAGCAATTTTTGTAGCTTTTAGCTTAGGACTGCCACTGTATCTCTAGCTGCTAACAATTTTGATTATATGTCGAATAAAATACTTCCTTAAAAGAATCCAAAGGAAATCTAAATAAACATCATATTGGTTTTTATAATTATATATATAAATTAAAACACCAAATACAGACATACCTGCTGAAAATTACTATTATAAATACTAGTATATTCCATATTTTGTGGGAAAAAGTTGAATATGAATAGCTGTAATATTAAGAGGAAAATAAGTGGTATTTTAACAGAATTTAGAAGTTGATTTTTTTTTTACTAGTATAAAGTACCAAGAAAATAAGTATTTAGCAAAACAATTTTTTAAATATAACTACAGAAGAAATAATTATTTCAGTAAGTTGTATGTTGCTACCAAGAGACCATATCAAATCTACTGTATAGACCATAATAAAAATATTTAACAATTTGAGAAAAAATAATCAAAGATTTAAATATAATGGAACTGGTAACAATGAACTATATTTTTCATTATCACTTTAATGTAGATATGTAACTAAATAAGTCTAGAAATGTATATTTTAGTTTAGAATGGTCTATCAAAAAAAAAACAAAAAAACACCAAACTCACTGTCGTTGAGTCGTTTCTGACTCATAGTGAGCCCCACTGGGCTTCTAAGGCTGTAAATCTTTACGGAAGTAGATCACCCAGTTTTCCCTTGGTGGAGCAGCTGGTGGGTGTGAACCACTGACCTTCCAGTTAGCAGTCAAGTACCTTATCCACTACACCACCAGAGCTCTATAATGACCTTCAAATCAACCACATTAAACTATATCAAAAACTATCTGTTCAAATCTGTATTTTTTTTTTTTTTTTAAAAGACTGTTTAATGTGAATTTAAGATACCCAAGAAGGGGTCGCTATGAGTCGGAACTGACTCGACGGCAGCGAGTTTGGTTTGGATTATACGTTAAAATTCTCATGCAAGTTAGGCATACTTGAACTCTGTGTTAAGGTTACACATTCACATATTACATATCATTTTGATCATTTATTCCAACAAGACCTTGACTTGATTTAGTTTCTTTCAAAACAGCCTATAAAGAGGTTTTCATTGAGAAATCGTCACATGAACCATGGCCTATTTAAAGAATAACATCCTCACCAGACTGATGATGTGAATGATGCCCAGAAGCCTCAACAGACTGCCTCTGTTCACTGACTGGAGAAGATAGCAAAGAAGTAGAATGAGGGCTTTCTGCAGAAGGTGATGCTGAATGAGCCTGAGCTGACACTGTAGAGGATGTAGAAGGCTGAAGAATTTGTTCAGCTGGAGTATCGACTTCCATTGCAGTTTCATCACCTTCCAAATCAGTACTTGATGGGACAGTAGGAAGAGTGGAAACATCTGATTGACTTGCTCCACCTTCAAAAAGCATGTTAATGCAAATTCAAATTTTAAACTATACTTTCCAAAATCAACTACTTTAAAGAGACATGTTCAGGTAACCCAACACGCACGCATACATACACACACACAAATATAGAAATTTAAGATACCAAAACCACTCACTCACTGGTGGGAAAAATCTATCTACAGTAATTCTTGCTAAAACAACCAATCTTCCAAGCAAAATGTTATATATGATACTTTTACTTAGACAAAGTTATAGAGGCTTGTTATTTACAACTAAATAACGTCTAATCCCTTAAATTTGAAGATGACAGTCTGGATCTTATAGCCAGATAAGAGAATAATGGATTTATATTGATGTATCTTCACATGATGTACCATACTGTCCTTGGTAAAATATTTACCAATAGTTTGACTGGAATTAGAGGCAAGAATAAAGCTACAAATATAGGCAAGAATAGAATTAATTCTCATTTCACTTGCAGTAATGTTTTAAGCACTAATATAATATGATTCATTCAATGTTGAAAATATTTGAGTGTCTACTATATGCTGTGCCAGGCTCCATGCTAGCTGCAGATGATTAATTAAGAAAATTCAATAAATATTAAAAATTTGTCTGGTTTTATCTCAAATCTAGATTTCATAAAAAGAAAAATACAATGGACTAATAAATAATAAAGTTTAACGTGTTGAAAAATGCAGCTACCACACAGTATGAAAAATATTTCTATAATTAATTATTTTAATGACTTTTTTACTTTAATCACAATGATTGAAATATTTCTTGATTTAAACATAACCATAAATTTAATAACTCTTAAACAAATCCATTGTCACAGAGTTTTTTTTAAGCTCACTGATAAAAAGGAGTTAATAAGAACAATTTATGGATGAAATGCAATCAAATTTTTTTATTTTGGGCTTTAAAATATTGTCATATGGTTGAATGCTAACACTATCAGCCACACATTAACCACTTACCCAAATAACATTATGAAGAAGTTAACTTTAAAAATTTTCATTTTTTTACAGAGATAAGTCAAAGATCATAAAGCTGGAAATAGATAAGATTCAAAATGAGGTCAGTCTAACCCTAAAATGAATATTTAATAATCAATGTATATAAGAATCAAAAACAGAAATTATTCAATGATATGAAACTCGCTTAACTATAGAGTTTTATATATTTCCATTCTCAGAGTACATACAAAAGATCTTAAAATGGGGAATCTCAGACTCCCCATTTTTTGAGAAGAGCAAGAGATAAGTGTAAACTTAGTGGAACCAGAAGGGACAAACATTAATCAATATCTTTTGTCCTCTACTGCTTCACATAATATGAGTATCTTATGATTATTGTAGCTATAAAACAAGATGCAAATTCTATGGTATGAATAAAACTGGTTTCAATAAATAGTTTTGCTAGCTTTATATAATTTTAATTGATGAAAAAAAATTACCTCTAGATTGAGATCTTCCTCGTCCTCTATTGCTTTGTGCAACTTCGCTTGCTTCCTCAAACCATCGTGATAACATATCAGACATTCTCTGCATCAATGATACATTGGGGCTTTGCTCTCCTATGACAACAAAGTTCTCATCAGTGCTTTCATGAAGTCAATATATTTCCTTAATGCAAAAACCTAGATTTGAAGGCCTTTAAAATGAAAAATGTTTTTTTTTTAATTAGGAAAAAATTAAATTGCCAAAATAAATTATATGGATATATAAATCTATTAACAGCACCATCACATTTTATAGTTAAGTGTTTATAAGAGTGACTCTTCAACTACATTGTGAGTTTTTTAATAATAAGGCTTATATCTCCTATATCTTTGCCTATCCTTAATGGCCCTCCTAGCCACCCCCACTCCAACCCACATCTTTAGTTCTCCAAGAGGTACAGCTAGGAAGTATTCATGAATTATAAATTAAATAGAATAAAAGAAAGGTTTGTGCTCCCATTAAGCATTATCATTAAGCACAAATACAAAATAGCTTTATGCTTTTTTTACCAAATTTCCTTACACTGAATTTACTTTCATCATTCACTATAAGCTACTTCTATTTATTTGAACGTAATTGAGACCAGAAGGTGTTCAATCTCTCCCCCTTATTCCTTTTCCTCCTTCAAGCAATGAGTTTTCTTTTAAGGGAATTTGCAGAGTAAGAGTATGAAATTAGAATAAAATGTGACAATTACACAATAATGTTATAATTTTAAAACAAACATCATTTACGTTCTTGCATTTTCTGTGAAATCAGAGTTTATTTCACATTTTATTATTTTTATGCAATGTAGCTCCATATTTTAAAATGTGTAGTAAAAATACCAAGGATAAAACATGAAGAAAGTTACTTTTGATCTTAAAATTAAAAGTTTTCAGGATGCTGGCCACGATGGCAGACTAAACAGATAAACTATCAAGACACCCTACAACAGAGACCTGAGAAACCAACTAAAGCAGATACAGATGGCAATCCTGGCACCAGAGCTTCAAGGAAAGGATAAAGAAGTAGATCAAATACAGATAAGAGGAAGAGACTGAATGAAAACTGCAAATGAGGACGTATATAGAGTGGTGAATAGCCAACAGGTCCAGCATAATGTGGCCATTTTGAATTACTACAAGCAGCATTCTGATTGTAACAGGAAGCAGATAACAGGATCCACTTGCTCAGGACTGCACCACAACCACATCAGTGTTTGCTGACCAGAGAGGTGTAATCTCCTTCCCTTCTACACCCTACACAACCTCCTATTGCCCAGAGGCACAGCTCTCCTGCAAGCATCTACCAGGCAGCCAGCCAAACCCCATCCCACCACCAAAAGCTATGCCATTTTTTCTTTCTTTTTAGTTCTTCCCTCCTCTTACCCCTTTTTTCCTTCTTCTTCCCCACTCTCCCTTTTCTTTGATTTTGCAGAGCAGGTGCCATGCCCTCGCCACCTCCCTGGTCAACTGTGCCAGTCTCTGCATCTCTGAAGTTGGTGATGGGCTTTCCCATTGAAGGAGTTACACTTTGCTACCACATCCATGTCTGGTGACTAGTGCTTACACCATTACTGTGTCAATTTCTTTCTTAAATTTCTTCTTCATAGTTCCCTCTTGTATTTTTTTTTTTTTTTTCTTTGTTTCCTTCCCTTTCCCCCCATATTTTTTCTTTTGGTCCTCGATAGTGGGTGCCCTGCTTTGCTGCAATGTCCACTCCCACCACTCTGTAGTTGGTGGTGCACCCTCCTGTGGAGCAGGCATGGCATTTCCAATGCAGCTGTGTTTGTGGATAGAGCTTACACCAAGACTGTGTTTTGTTTTTTGTTAATTTTCCTGAAAAGTGGGCACTCATTCCCCACCACCTCTGCAGTCAGCAGCACCTGGACTTGCCCTTCCACAGTCAACGATGCATCTTCCTGCAAAGCAAATGCCACATTTCCACTATGGTCATGTTTGACAGCTAGTGCTGGCATGAGTACTGTGCTACTTTCTTTTTTTCCTTTTATTTTTCTCTCTTTCTTATTTCTGTTTCTTAATATTTCTCCTCTCTTCCCCTTCCCTTGTTTTTTATTCTTTTCTGTTTTTTTTTCTTCCTCTTCCCCTGACTTTTATATTTTGATCCTGGGGCATGAGTGCCCTGCCCTCACCACCTCCATGGTTGGCATCCCTGACTCCACAGGTGATGATGCATGACTCCACAGAGTGTTAGCCCCCACTAACACCACTGCAGTCAGCAGCAGCACCCACTCACATCCCTCTACGACTGGCAGTATACACCCACACTACCAACTGCTACCAAATTCACCCAGAGAGAAGTGGTGAGGACCCAAATGCTGCCCAATAAGCAAAAAGTAGCATGCCCACCCCACTGCCCAGATATATTAAGACAAAACAAAACAAAACACTGGGGTGAAGCAAACCAACACACAATCAACAAATTAATCTAATAATACCACAATGTCTTGGAGATAAGAGACAACTTCAAATCACACACCCACACCCACACTCACAAACAAACAAAAACAGGACAAGACAGCTCAAACAAGTGACCAAACTACAGGGCCAGAAAATCTTCCAGGGGAAGAAATGCTATTGGAACTGCCAGATAATAAATTCATAAGAATTATACTTAGCCTCCTTTAGTAGACTAAGAAAGGGATCAAGGGAAACAAAGACAACACCAAAAGAATCATAGAGAAAAATCAAGGAAAACACAGACAAAACTCTAAAAGAATTCAGGAAAACAACACAAGAACCAATTGACAAAATAAATGGAAAATTAGAAATCATACAAAAACAGCAAAAAGAAATCCAGAAAATTAATACTAAAATTTCAGAAACAGGTAACACATTGGAAGGGTAAAGGAGCACAAGTGACTAAATGGAAGACAGAATTAGCAAAACTTAAGAAAAAACTCAATACTTATTTGATAGAGGAACAATCAGACAAAAGCATGAAAAATGAAAAGCTGAAGAATTATGTGAGACACCATCAAGAGGAATAACTTACATGAGATCAGAATGCCAGAACAGGAAGAGACCAAAAAAAAAAAAAAAACCCAGCAAAAAAATTGTCAAAGATTTGTCTGAAAAAAAAAAAAAAGAGTTCCTAATATCATACCTAATATCATAAACGATGGGAAGATATGCATTCAAGAAGCTCAAAATAGAATACATCCCCAAAGAAATTCACCAAGACATATCATAACCAAATTTCCAAAGCAAAAGCAAAAAAAGAATCCTGAAGGCAGCTCAAGAAAAACAAAGTCACATACAAAAAAGAACCAATAAGGCTAAGTTCTGATTTCTTGGCAGAACCCATACATGCAAGAAAAACAAAGCAATTAGAAAGAAACTCAACACAGATATAGAACATCTAACCAACACAATCAACAAACTGGACTTCATAGATGCACACAGAACACACAACCCAACAAAAGCACAATATACATTCCTTTCCAGTTCACACAGAACATTCTCCAAAACAGACCATATGTTAGGCCACAAAGCAAGCCTCAATAAATTTCAAAATATCAAAATATTACTATGTATTTTCTCCGATCAAAATGCTATATAGTTAGAAATCTACCACAGGAAGATTGAAAGGGGGGGAGGGAATATATAGGAACTGAATAACACCCTGTTTAAAAACTACTGAGTAATAGAAGAAAAAAAAATTAAATTAAAATATTCCTTGGATCAAATGAAAATGAAAACACAACATACCAAAATGTTTGGGAGAAATAGAAAAAACAGTACTCAGAAAATTTATAGCAATAAATGCACACATGAAAAAAGAAGAAAGAACCAAATCAACACCTTAACCCAACATCTCCAACAGTTATAAAAAGAACAGCAAAAGACTACAGTCACCAGAAGAAAGGAAATAAAGACTTGAGCAGAAATAAAGAGAAAACAGAAAAACAAGAAAAAAAAATCAGTAAGACCAGAAATTGGCTCTTTAAAGGATTAATAAAACTGACACTGGAAATTTAACAAAGGAAAAGAAGGAGAAGCTGCAAACAAAAAGTGTAAGAAATTAAATAGGCAAGCTCACAATAGAACCTACTAAAATAAAAAGGATAATTAAGAGTACTATGAAGAAGTGTACTCCAACAAATTTGAAAACCTAGAAATGGACAAACTTCTAGAAACACACTACCTACCCAAACTAACAAAATCTGAGGTAGAAAATTTGGACAGATCTCAAAATTAGAAATTGAACAGGTCATTTCAAAAATTACCACCAAAAAAAAAAAGTCTCAGCCCAGACACCTTCACTGGCAAATTCTATCAAACATTCAAAGAAGAGCTGACACCAATTCCACTCAAACAATTCCAGAACATAGAAAAGGATGGAATACTCCTGAATTCATTTTATGAAGCCAGTATAACCATGATACCAAAACAAGCAAAGACATCACTAAAAAAGAAAATTATAGACCAGTATTCCTCATGAACATTGATGCAAAAATTCTCAACACATTACTAGCCAATACAATCAAACAGCATATCAAAGAAAGAATATATCATGAGTAAGTGGGAGCTCTGGTAGCATAGTGCCTAAGGCACTTGACTGTTATCCAGAAGGCTGGCGGTTCAAACCCACCAGCCACTCCTCGGAAGGAAGGATGGACAATCTACTTTCGTAGTGATACTGCCTTGGCAACCCAAGGAGGGGTCTCTATGAGTCGGGTCCGACTCAATGGCACATAACAACAACAACAAGTGGGATTCATACAGGTATGCAAGCATGGTTCAACATGAGAAAAACAATCAATGCAACCCACCACATAAAGAAAACAAAGGGGAAGAAAAGATCATATCGATTGGTGCAAAAGAGGCATTTGACAAAATTCAACAACTCTTCTTGATAAAAATGCTCAGCAAAATAGTAATTGAAAAGAAATTCTCAATATAATTAAGGGCATATACACGAAACCAATGGCCAACATTAATCTTAATGGACATAGACCGAAAACATTCTCCTTGCAAAATGGAAACAGAAAAGGATGTCTTTTATTATCATTTTTATTCAATGCTGTATTAAAAGTCCTAGCCAAAGCAAAAAGGCAAGAAGGGAGAATTATAAGGCAAGGTGGCAAAGCAGAAGTAAAATTATCTCTATTTGTAGATGATATGATCCCATACATAGAGATACAACCAAGAGATACAACCAAGAAAACTACTGGACCTAATAAAAGGATTGAGCAAAGTAGCAGGATACAAGATCAGCATATAAAAATCAGTCAGATTGCTCTACACTAACAAAAAGATCTCTGAAAACGAAATCAGGAAGACAACAACATTTACAATAACTATCCAAAAGATAAAGTACTTAGGAATAAATCTAAGCAGAAACACAGAAGACCTATACAAAAAAACTAAAAAATATTACTTCAAGAAACTGACATAAATGAAAGAATATATCATACTCATGAATAGGAAGACTTAACGTTTTGAAAATGACAATACTACCCAAACCAATCTATAAATATAATGCAATCTTAATCCAAATTCCATTATCATTCTTTAAACAGATGGAAAAACTAATCACCAACTTTACATGGAAAGGAAAGAGATCTCAGATAAGGAAAGCACTAACAAAGAAAAACAAAGTAGGGGATCTAACAATCCTTGAACTCAAAACCTTCAGTACAGCCACAGTAATCAAAACAGCCTGGCATTGGCACAATGACAAACACAGACCAATGGAACAGAACTGAAAACCCAGAAATAAATCTATCCACCTATGGACAGCTGATCTTTGACAAAGGGCTGAAAGCCATCAATTGGGGAAGAGACAGTCTCTTAACAAATGGAGCTCGCAAGACTGGATATCCATTTGCAGTAAAATGAAGCAGGATCCAGATCTCTCACCTACATAGAAACTAACTGTGATAGTTGAAGATGTGTCAACTTGGCTGGACTCCAGTTGTGAGTGGTGGTTCCCATGATGGGATCAGATGACTGAGTTCTGAGCGGCCAGTGTGCCCAAGGGGAGTTTCCCCAGGGGTGTGGCCTGCTTGCAATGCTATTCCAAGGACAAGCTGGAAGAACGGCACTCCGGACTATATACTTCCTTGAGTGAGTGGCTCGCCGCTCACCCTGGAGGTTTCGGATTCATCCTTTGTTGGGAACAGCAACCAGCGTGCTGCGTGCCAGCTTGATTCTCTCAGCTCTGTTGTGCTTACGGGAACCAGGCGGCTCCGGGCCTCATCTCCTCCAGAGACGAACTTTGTGGCTTGAACTCCCCTGCCGTGCGTGCGAAAGCCAGGCGGCTCCGGGCCCCATCCCCCTCCAGAGACGAACTTTTCAGCTTGAACTTGTCGGCTTCTACACACTTGTGAGCCATTTACCTAAGATAAATCTCTCTCTCTCTCTCTCTTTCTCTCTATAAATATATATATATATATACTTTGCTGGTTTTTATGTTTCTCTAGAGAACCCAATCCAACACACTAACTCAAGGCAGATTAAAGACCTAAATGCAAAACCTAAAGCCATAAAGATCATCAAAGAAAAAATAGGAACAAACTTAGGGACTCAAAAACGCAGCATAAATATACTATCAAATGTAAGTAAAAACACACCAACAGCAGAAGACTAGATGACTGGGACCTCCTAAAAATTAAACATTTATGCACATCAAAAGACTTCATCAAAAGAATAAAAAGAGAACATACAGACTGGAAATAAAATTTTTGCAACAACATACTGGACAAAGGACTAATCTCTAAAATATATAGAAAAACTTCAATATTTCAACAACAAAAAGACAAATAATCCAATAAAAAATGGGCAGAGGAACAAAGAAGACATTCAAATGGCTAACAAACACATGAAGAAATGCTCAAGATCATTAACCATTAGAGACATGCAAATCAAAACTGAGATATCCTCTCACCCCACCATTAATAGTAAAAACAAAAATAAAAACAAAAAACCCAGAAACAACAAATGCTGGTGAGGCTGTGGAAAGACTGAAACTCTTATATACTGATAGTGGGACTGTAAAATGGTACAACCACTGTGGAAAGCAGTATGGCACTTCTTTAAGAAGTTGTATAGAAATACCATATGATACAGCAATCCCACTACCAGGTATATATCCTAGAGAAATAAGAGTTGTGACACGAACAGAATTATGCATACCCATGTTCATCACAGAATTATTCACAATAGCAGAAAGATGTAAACAACCGAAGTGCCCATCAACAGACAAATGGATAAACAAGCTATGGTACATACTATGGAATACTATACGACATTAAAAAATCACAAATCTGCAAATCACCTGATAACATGGATGAACTTAGAGTATATTATATTGAATGAAATTAGTTAGTAACAAAGGGACAAATATTACATGAGACTACTATTGTAAAAAGTCTAAAAAAAAAAAAGGTTTACATATAGAAAGAATCATTCTTTGAAGGTTACCAAAGGGAGAAGGCAGGGAGGGTAAATCACTAACTAGAGGGTAGCCACATATTAATTTGGGTTAAGGGAAAGGTAATACACAACAAGGGAGATGTCAGCAAAAAATGATCAAGGCAAAGGAAGACACTGGGAGGGACACAAGAATTAAAGACAACAAAAGTGAATACTACTTCACATACAATCCTGCAATAATAGTAATAGCAATAATCTATTTGTAGATACATATGTAGATACTCAAGCTGATTATGAGTGAGAAGGCCAACGGGACTACACCCATTAATATATGTAAGTTTGATAACAGGTATTTCTACATATGTATTTATATGTACTGCAAATATATCCATGCATATAATAGAGCATACAGGAGGCCAAGTTTTGAAAATGTCTTAGTTATAACCAAACACCTTGAGGGAATGAGTCACTGGGCATGGGGACTCAGGACCATAGTCTTGGTGGACACAATCGGCATAATATAGTCTGCAAAGACAATGTTCTATATCCTATTTGGTGAGTAGCAACTAGGGTCTTAAAAGCTTGCAAGCAGCCATCTAAGGTGTAACTATTAGTCTCTCCCTATCCAGAGTAAAGAAGAGTAGTAAAGAAAAGCAAGGACACAAGGAAACAATTAGCCCAAAAGATCAATGGGCCACATGTAGCCAAGCTTCCATGACCATGAGACCAGAAGAACTATATGGTGCATGGTTATTACTGCTGACAACTCTGAAAGGGATCACAACAGGAGGTACCAGATAGAGTCAGAGACAAAATATATAACAGAACTCAAAATCTTAAAGAAGACCAGGCTTACTGATCAGATAGAGACTCATGGAAACCCTGAGACTAGGGCCCTTAGACACCCTTCAAGCTGGGAACTGAATTCACTTGTATGGCTCAACTTTCAGCCAAACCACAGAAAGGCCTATAAAGGTGAACATCAGGAAGGTATGAACTCATTAGAACATCAACTATACTGGATCAAAAAGACAGCATTTGGACAGGCATAAAGCTAAGAAGGCAAGAAAGAATAGGAAAGAAGAACAAAGGGAAATGGTAAATACAGGGAGGAAGTGAGAAGAGCGTTGATACACTGTAGGGATTGCCATGAATGTCACAAAACAAAATGTGTATGAATTGTTGAATGGAAACAATTTGCTCTGTAAACTTTCATCCAAATTACAGAAAATAAAGGAAAAAGTAAAAGTTTTTCTTTTTGTTAAAAAAAGTCTAGTGGGCAGGGAGGAGTCCCAGGGTGGTGCAAATGGTTAAGTGCTACACTACTCTCAGAGGGGCTTCGAGATTAATACCTGACTACAGCTTCTGAAAGGTCCTAACATTGAAAAACAACAATAAGCAAAAAACAAACACATACAGTGACCTAACCACTCCATTTCTAGTAATTCATCCTAAAATACACTAGCACAAGTGTGCTACGGGATATATGTAACAAAGATGTTCATTCCAGCATTGTTTATAATAATGCAACTAAATTTAAAATGTTAGTTTTTAAATACTGTACATATAAAAATATCTGACCAAAGTATAGTTACCATCTCGTTCTCGTTCACTCTCAGGTCTTGCTCTGGGTCCAGTATCTGACCAATCACCACGAAGTCTCAAACGTTTAACTGGAGGCTGTCGTAACTAAAACATGAGGATAAGGTCAATTGTATGCAAGTCTAAAAGCATACTCATTTGCTCTCAACTCATAGCATACTTAAGATCTAATAGTTTATTTCTATCTCCCTATTTTCATCATTAAGGAGTTCTGGTGGTATAGTGAATAAGGCATTTGGCTGTTAACCAGAAGGTCAACAGTTCAAACCTACCAGCCACTCCATAGAAGGAAGATGGGGCAATCTACTTCCATAAAGATTTACAGCCTCAGAAATGCAATGACGGTTGTTATGGTTGGAATCGAGACAATGGCAGTGAGTTTAGTTTTTTTTGTTTTCTTCACTGAGTATGCAAGTGAAATACAAACTCAAAATACAAAAGACATTAAGGAAACACAGAAGCTGAATTAATTCCTACATCGCATTCATAATAATGATATATATCCACTGTGCTAACAGCCTATAATTAACATCTTCAGTCTAGAATCTGAATGCATGTTTGAAATCATACATGTATGATTTCTATTTTCATCTTTATCACTTTCTATCACTGACAACAGAAAGTTATTTAATTACTGTGAGCCTCAGTTTTCTATTGTGACACAGAAACATAGTCTAGGTTAAGTAGTTTTATGTCTGAATGATAATACAGTTATCATTATTTTTAAATTAATTATTGACAATATACTCTCTTGTACCTCTCATCATCTATTCCAATACTCCATCACATTCCTTAAGATCTTGCTATACTTCACCTTATCACCTTCTTCTCAGCTAATAACTTTTCCTCCTACTTCAGAGAAAATAATGAAGACCCTGCAGAAACTCCTTCAATTTCCTCATCTGCACTCTATAAAGTTATCTATCTATGAGTCTCTTAACTTTTTCCAGCCTTTCTCAGGGAATGTAACATTTATCCTGTTCAACTCTAATCTATCTGCAAATTTTATTTTAATCCTTCAATTCCTCAAGCACCTTGCTTCAACAATTATACTGTCTCTTGTTTCTTCCTTGTAAATATACTAAAGCTTCTTAACATTTTTTAATAAACAAAACCCTTCAATTTTATATTCCTCTTCAGCTATACACCTTCATTGTGCTTTCCTTTTATCGTCAACTTTCTTGAGAAAGTCTATATTCCCTTTATCTACCACTCTTCCTCAACCCACTGTAATCAATCTTTTGCTCCCATCTTTTCACTTAAATCATTCTCATCAAGGTCACCTATGATCAATTGCCAAATTCACTGAACAATGATAAAATGATCAATAATACAATCAACAATCAATTGCTAAGTCAAATGGCACCTTTTAGAGCTTATTTTATTTGACCTATTTATGGTAGTTGACATTCTGGACCACTCCCCTCTAAATTTTACATTTTCATTTGATATAATTCACACACCAAAAATTTCACTCTTTCTTTGGTTTTAGTTATATTCACAAAGTTGTACAACTATTACCACTATCCAATTCCAGAACATTTTCATCATCTTAAAAAGAAACCCCATACCCATCAGCAAGCACTCCTTGTACTCTACAGCCCCTGATCACTACTCATTTCTGTCTGTATGGATTTGCCTATTCTGGACCTTTCATATGGAATCATACGATATGTGGCCTTTTTGTTTCTGATTTCTTTCACCTAGTATAGTATTTTTGAGGTCATCCATACTGTAGCATGTATTAGTACTTCATTCTGTCTTATGGCTGAGCAGTATTTCACTGTATTGATACAGCACATTTTGCTTATCCATTCATCAAGTGGTGGACATCTGGGTTATGTCTACCTTTTGCTTTTTATGAATAATGCTGCTATGAACATTTGTGTACAAGTTTTTACAGATACATGTTTTCAATTACCTTGGTGTGGAAGTACTGGGTTATATGATAATCCATGTTTAACTTTTTGAGGAACTGTCAGACTATTTTCCAAAGTGGCTGTACATTTTTACATTCCCACTAGTAATGTATGAGGGTTCTAATTTCTCTATATCTTTAACACTTGTTACTGTCTTTTCATTTTTTTAAATTATACTCATCATAATGAGTGACAAGTGGTATCTCATTGTGGTTTTGATTTGCATTTCCCTGATGACTAATGATGGTAAACATCTTTCATACGCTTATTGGCCATTTGTACATTTTCTTTTGAGAAATATTTATTCAAATACTTTGACCATTTTTTAATTTGATTATTTCTTATTTCATGGTTAAGTTGTAAATGTTATTTATATTGTGGTTACTAGACTCTCATAAAATACATGATTTAAAAGCATTTTCTCCCTCTCTGTGAGTCAATTCCTTTATTTTTATTTATTCATTTTAAAAATAACATTTATTGACTTTCTTCTCGCAATTAGGAAAGGTTTTGATAAAAACATGGTGATAATTAGTTATAAATCTTACCATTTCTCCTATAAACCATATCAAACAAGAGAAAGAATAGAAACAATTCCCTACATCTTCAGCAATATTAGGAGATACAAAAACCCACAAATTCCATGTTATATGTTAAGTATGGTCAAGAGCAAATAAGAACAGCAAAATCTTCACAGGAAGCTACATGTGTGTCACAGGGAATAACTAAAAGAACATAGGAAGCCTACTGTCACAGCTACCCAAAATCTCAAATAACAATTCCCAGAAGGAGAGGGTCTCAAGCTGAATATGAACTATATATGATAATAGAATAGCGCCCCACTACATGATTATGGGAGAGAAGGAATTTCTATGTTACATAGGCAAAGGATTAGTATTACAGTATCAGCAATTATTTCTGGAACCAGATCCTTAAATTAAATAGTCCCAAATTTGACTGAGTTATGCAAAATAACCTAGCAAGAATACTAGAAATGGTACAGCATTCATCTACTCAATCAACAATTTTTCCCCCAAGCCCCTTTTATGTGTCAGGCACTACTATTCCAATTATTGGGAAAAGAGCGATGACAAAACAGAGAAAAATTCCAAGTGTCACACTTTGTAGCCTAAACCAAAAAAAAAAACCAAATTCACTGCCATCAAGTCAGATCCGACTCATAGCAATACCTTAGGTTTCCAAGGCACTATCACTATGGAAGTAGATTGCCCAATCTTCTTTCCAAGGAGTGGCCAGTGGGTTTGAACCACCAGCCTTCTGGTTAGCAGTCAAATGCCTTAGGCACTATGCCACCAGAGCTCCTAATAGGGGAGAAAAACAGTACATGAAATTAAAAAGTAAACTATGCATAGAAAGTGGCAAGTGTTATAAAGATTAATAGAGAAGGGCTATTCCCATGCCCCTAATCTACTCTATTTTTCTGAATAACATATAACTTTCTATATAGAGTTAGAATTGCAATGTTAATAGAGTGGTGAAATAGGGAAAGCCTCACCAAGAAGGTGACATGAACAAATACCTGATACAGGCAAGAGAATAAGAGAAAAATCCAGGTATCTGGGGAAAGAATATTACAGGCAGAGCACACACAAAGGCTCTAGCTCAGGCACAGCACACTTGGCCTGTCAGAATTAGTAAGTGAACAGATGTAGTAGAGCAGAGAGACAAGAAGGAGAGTAGAAGTAGTAATGAAGTAGTGATGAGAACCACATGATATGAGGATTTGAAGCTAATGTAAAAACCTCAGCTTTACTTTGAGTGAGATGCAGAACCACTTTAGAATGTCGACCAGGGGAGTACATGATTTGACTTATGTTTTAAAAGGAACACTTGGGCTGCTATGTAGCTAAAGCATTGTAGGGGGCAAGAGTGAACACAGAGGTACTTATTTAGAAAGCTACTATAATAATCTAAGAAAGATATACTGATGCCTTGGATCAGGAAAGTAGTAATGATGATGGTAAGAAATAGTTAGATTTGGGGTATAGTTTATGGGTAGGAGCAGGAGCAAATGCAAGAATGGATTTAACCAAGTCTAGTGTTGGAGGCTCTGGTGGTGCAGTGCCTAAGGCATTTGACTGCTAACCAGAAGGCTGGCGGTTCAAACCCACCAGCCACTCCTCGGAAGGAAGGTTGGGCAATCTACTTCTGTAGTGATACTGCCTCGGAAACCCAAGGAAGGGTCGCTATGAGTCGGGTTTGACTCGACGGCACATAACAACAACAACAGTGTTGGAGGGGGAGCAGATGGAGAAATGTCATAAAGATGCTGAAGCAGAAGAGAGAAAAGACAATAAAAATTTTTAAAACAGTACAAAAATAAAGGAAAATGAGAAGTGAAAGAAAATAAAAAACTGAGTAAGTTAAACAAATATAACAAAAACAAACCAAACCCACTGCCACTGAACAATTTCAACTCATAGCAACCGTAAAGGACAGACTGGAGCTGCCCCACAGGGCTTCCAAAGCTGTAATTCTTTATGGAAGCAGACTGCCTCAACTTTCTCCCATGGAAGAGTGGTTGATGGCTTCCAATTGCTGACCTTTCAGTCAGCAGCTGAGCCTTTAACCACTGTGCCCCCAGGGCTCCTTAAGAATATACTGAAGAAAGGAAAAAAATACAAAGAAGTTATTAGAAGACATGAAGAAATAAAAAGAGACCCCTAAAGTTGAGAAGGGAGCTCTGGTAGCGTAGTGCCTAAGGCACTGGACTGCTAACCAGAAGGCTAGCAGTTCAAACCCAGCAGCCACTTCTTGGAAGGATGATGGGGCAATCTACTTCCGTAGTGATACTGCCTCGGAAACCCAAGGAGGGGTCGCTATGAGTCGGAGCTGACTCGATGGCACATAACAACAACAACAAAGTTGAGAAAATACAAAAATATGGAAACATAAAAAATAATCATTTAGCGAACTTTTATTCATGCTTTAAAATCCTAAGGTCATTTGCTTAGTCTTCTCATGTTCCCATTTAAAATCAATTATTCCCTCATCTCGTCTATACGATATAATCTTTATATATAATCCGACTACTGTTAAATTTCACACGTTTATTTATGTTTCTATTTCCATTAGACTGTAACTTCCTTGAGAGGCCATGTCTTCACTAGTAATCCTTGATTTTCTAATGTTTAATATAGATCACAATATATAGTACCCACTAACCAAATGCACTGCCGTCAAGTTGATTTTAATTCCTAGCGACCCTGCAGGATAGAGTAGAACTGTCCCATAGGGTTTTCAAGGCTGTAAATCTTTACAAAAGCACTGTCTCTTCTTTCTCCCATGGAGTGGTTAGTGGGTTCAAACTGCCAACCTTTCAGTTAGCAGACAACCACTGCACCACCAGGGCTCCTCAGTAATGGTAAGCACTCAATAAATATTTAGTGAATTTGGAAAAGCTTGCCTGAACATTATTTTTTATTTACTTATTGTGATTTGGGTGAAAGTTCACAGAGCAAATTCACTTTCCATACTGCAGTTCACACACACACTATCTCATGATATTGACTACAATTTACCCCAATGCAACAGCTATCTTCCCACTTCCTCTTTCCTGTGTCCATCCCTCCTCCATGAACTCCTGCCCCCTGAACTGTCTCCCTGTGCATAAACAGCCCTTCTTTCTCCCATGATTGTTGTCTGAACATTATTATAAAGGATTTAATATAAAACAGTGAAAGAGAGGGTGGTGAGATAGATTAGTATACTTTTACATATTATATATACATTACATTACATATACTTTCAGATTGTTTGTTTCTATAAGTATGATTTGTTTTTATAATTTTAATCCACTTTCAGAATTACTTTTCTTAGTTTAGCTTTCAGAAAAAAAAAAAAAAAAAAAAACAGCTCTCCCATGACTCCGTCTTGTTTAATTACAGAAACATCTTTTGATTAAGTATTCTGTGGTGTCAAAGCTAGTTGGCCCAACTTAAATGTCTGTGAATATACAACTTTTTCATTATGTAATAGTCATAAAGTTTGACTGTAACTTTACTTAACCACATTTAAAAGGGGAAATTACATAGCTACAACAGAATGATACAGCAGATTTCATGTTTTCAACTGGACCAGTAATATCACAAATAGCGATCATTAACTACCACATTCCTCTCTTTTTTTTTCCTTGTCACTCTCCAATTCACTGAGAGATCCACATTTTAAAATCCCAAAACATTTTTTAAGTAATTTTGATATTTTTTTCTAATTTTAAAGCCCTCTGAACATAGAGTTTTAAGAATTAAATTTAAGAATTACAAAATGGTTTTTGTAACGGTTGTTGTAACTCTTAAAATGCGTCCACTACTAGGCATTGAGTCAATACTAAAAAAGTCACTGATAGTTAATAAGCATTAATGGTTAAATCCAAACATTTATAAGCTAGAGTAGAATGATTAAACACAGGAAAACTGATTTAAAAAGCGAAACTGAAAAACATGTTACGACAAGAAGCAGGTTATTTAATGTAAACATTTTCCTACTGCTGTATTATTTCTGGGTTTTGCCTTTTATAAATAAGAAAAGAAGTGACTATTTTATAGTCATTTTAATAATAATAATACATTCAACTATTTTTCAATAGCTATATCTACTTTAACCTACCTTTTATTCACTTATTAATCGATTTTATAAATTATACCTGGGGATAATATTAAATGTCACTAGTTCATAATTGTGAAGGAGAGGCATAATTGGGGAAGGAGGGATTACTGTCATGTGAACAGTAAATGATAATTAATCCTGTTAGTGATGGACATAAATTAGTCTCTAGGAAATTCATACATCACATTTTCCATTATTTTAAAGGTCTCTTCTGTAAGTATTATGAATGTGGATCTCTGACTGCTGTGCATCTACAAAGTTTAGGGAACATTTCTGCAGTTAAATATATTTCTTTTCTTTGACAAATAGTTCTCAGTACCCTTTTCTAGAAACTTATCTTTAATTTTCTATTATCTGTTGTTATTTCATGTCCTTGTTCCTTAGATTATAAACACCTCAAAAATTAGGACTTTCTTAGACCTTCAGCCACCAGGAGTCACTGAATTAAAATTTTCTGAACTGAATAAAGAACATGGGTTTTGAGTAAATTTACCTCTTCTCTTCTCTCTTCTGCAGAAGGAGTTTTAAGTTCACGTGCTGTATCATCTTTTGGATCAAATAGATATATGTAATCTGAAGAGTAACTAACAAGAATTTCTTGACCATCTTCACTATAACACAGAGATGTCACCCTGCAGGACTTATTATTAAGATGGGAAGGGATAAAACGGGCAACCATTCCAGTAGTCCCTCGACCTGCATAATTCCCTAAATAGGAAAACAGAAAGTTATTTAAAATTTATAATATTTTGAAAGAAAAATATTTTTTAAACAATCTAAATTAGGAGAGAAGCAATTGAATTTAGCAATATAAATCTAAGCTACCACATTCTACATCTAGAAGAGGTTCTTTCTTCATTAGATTTTATAACAAAACCAAAAAGGATATATATATATATAATATAAAGGCACTATATTTCCAAACAAATTCACAACTGTCTAGAATTCCAGTTTACATAAATGGCTTAATGGAAATATCAGTTCTTTAATAAATTAAAATTATTTGTGATTATTAGTCATATTGAATCCTCTCTAAAAATAATTCCCAAATTAACATAATTTTATAATAGGAAAGCTGATATTTATTAGCATACTAGATAATACTGTAATAATATTCTGTTAAGATTATTTACTTATTTTTTAGATCTGATTGTTATTATATCTTTAGGATATAGCCTAAAGTTAGCATATTTTATAATTTTAATCAACTCTGGTAGTCTTTGCAACCAGAGTTACTTACAACTATTACAATACAATAGGGAGGGATAAAACTGGAACTTTGTGCCCTGGCTGCCCAGGAATACCAACTTCTAAGAATCTCACAAAGCTATATAATTCTACACAAATAAGTCTTACTCTGTGCAAATTGTTGACTGTACCCTGTAAGTTGAGAAACAGTAATTAAGCCTACAATCTCCTATTATATTACTACTATGTTCTTTAAATATACATATCCAAACAGAAGAGCTCCTTAAATCACAGTTCAAGAAGATCCCATCTGGTTTTCCCATTCCAATAATTTATGGCCATTTTTACTAATACTATTAATTTCTGGCTAAGTTTACCTTCATTTTTAACAATACCAAATATATATATTGTATATGTAAATAATGTATATATGATACAAGCTAATGGAGGTTGGCTCTTGTGGCTCTCCATGAGAGCCAACATATGACCTTGATTATATCCCACCTGAATTTAGAGACCATCTAAAGAATAGATTTGACACACTGAACACCAATGACCAAAAACCAGATGAATTGTAGGATGATATCAATAACGTCATATATGAAGAAAGCGTTAAAAAGACAGGAAAGGAAGAGAAGACTAAAATGGATGTCAGAAGAGACTTGCTCTTGAATGCAGAGTAGCTAAAGAAAATGGAAGAAATGACAAGATAAAAGAGTTGAACAGACGATTTCAAAGAGTAGCTTGAAAAGACAACATCAATTATTATAAGGAAATGTGCAATGACCTGGAGTTACAAAACCAAAAGGGAAGAACACACTCAGCATTTCTCAAACTGAAAGAAATGAAGAAAAAATTCAAGGCTTGAGTTGCAGTACTGAAAGATTCTATGGGCAAAATACTGAATGATGCAGGAAACATCAAAAGAAGATGACAGAACTACACAGAGTCACAGTACCAAAAAAGAATTTATCAATGTTCATGCATTTCAGGAGGCAGCATATGATCAAGAATCAACAGTACTGAAGGAAGAAGTTGAAGCTGCATTGAAGGAATTGGCAGAAAACAAGGCTCCAGGAATTGAGGGCCTATCCATTGAGATGTTTCAACAAACAGATCCTTCCCTGGAGGCACTTAACTTGTCTATGCCAAGAAATTTGGAAAATAGCTACCTAGCCAACTGACTGGAGGAGATCCATACGTGTACCCATTCCAAAGAAAGGTGATCCCACAAAATGTGGAAATTATTGAACAATACCATTACTATGCACGCAAGTAAAATATTGCTAAAGATAATTCAAAAAAGGTTGCGGCAGTACAGTAACAGGAAACTTCCAGAAATGTAAGCTGGATTTAGAAAAGGACATGGAATGAGGGATATCATTGCTGATGTCAGATGTATCTTGGCTGAAAGCAAAGAATACCAGAAAGATGTTTACTTGTGTTTTATTGACCATGCAAAAACATTTGATTGTGTGGATCATAACAAATTATAGGTAATGTTAAGAAGAATAGGAATTCCAGAACACTTAACTGTACTCATGAGGAACCTGTACATAGACCAGGAGGCTGTCATTTGAACAAAATGAGGAGATACTGCATGGTTTAAAATCAGGAAGGGAGTGCATCAGGGTTGTATCCTTTCACCATACTTATTCAATCTGTATGCTGAGCAAATAATCCGAGAAGCTGAACTATATGAAGAAAAACATGGCATCAGGAATGGAGGAAGACTCACTAACAACCTGTGAGATGAAGAGGACACAACTTTGCTTACTGAAAGTAAAGATGACTTAAAGCACTTACTGATGAAGATTAAAGGCCACAGTCTGCAGTATAGATTACACCTTACTATTAAGAAAACAGAAGTCCTCACAACTGGTCCATTAAACAGCTTCATGATGGATGGAAGCAGCAGTCAGGACATCAGATGACATACTGCATTGGGCAAATCTGCTGCAAAAGAGCTCTTTCAAGTGATGAAGAGCAAAGATGTCTCTTTGAAGACTGAAGTGCACCTACCCCAAGCCATGATGTTTTCAATTGCCTCACATGCATGTGAAAGCTGGACAATGAATAAGGAAGACCAAAAAAGACTTGATGCTTTTGAGTTGTGGTATTGGCAAAGAATACTGAAAGTACCACAGACTGCCAGAAGAATGGACAAATCTGTCCAGGAATAAGTACAGCCAAAATGCTCCTTGGAAGCAAGAATGGCCAGACTTCATCTCACCTACTATGGTCAAGTTGTCAGAAGGAGCAAGAATGGCCAGACTTCATCTCACCTACTATGGTCAAGTTGTCAGAAGGAACCATTCCCTGGAGAAGGATATCATGCTTGGTAGTGTGGAGGGTCAGCAAAAAAGGGGAAGACTCTCAAGGAGATGGATTGACACAATGCTGCAACAACGGGCTCAGGTATAGCGAGAATTGTGAGGCTGGTGCAGGATCAGGCAATGTTTCATTCTGTTGTACACAGGGGTCACTATGAGTCAGAGGCAACTCAACAGCATCTAACAACACCAACAATGGAGGCTGGTACTACTTGTCTTTAAATTGGTTATTTCAGAAGTAGTTTGATCCAAGAATGGTTAAGGAGAAAATAAACTTGTTTAAGTCAGAGACAAAGTCAGGATTGTACCATCATTGACTAGGCTAAGCAGGCACAGACATCAATACATGTCCATGTCACTGTTCTTTCCTAACAATTTTCTCCACCATGTTTACCATTATCTTCATGATTGGAAAGTGGCAAACAAAAAGTAGGAAAGGCCAAGTGCTATAACTTTTAGTGATAAACTAAACTGCAAAGTATCTCCCTATAAGGCGTAAAAACTTCATGAAATGCTATTCTCATAATAATCCATATTACTTGAATGCATTCTATTTCTTGAATTTTATGACAAACTGAAGAAACTTTAAAACTGTAAATATGTGATGAAGATTTAGTTTTTGAAATGATAGCATATTATATTGTCCGTAGTATATATTTTCTTACCGGTAGCTCTTGTGCCCAGCATTCGTCGATCATATATTCTTACTGAGCTATCAGAACAACCAACAGCAAGATAATACGGTATTGGTGGACAAATAGCTACAGATGTGGCAGCACGTCGACAGTTAATTAAAATATCCTATAAAAGATAAAATTATAGCAGTTACATAGAGTTATACAGCAGGAATGGCACTATATTTAAAGCATGTTCCCTTCAATGAGGAGAAAATAACCATTCTCACAAATCTTAATGCAGTTAGCATGACAATATAGGGCAAGGAGCGGAGGGGTATGGATTTCTTTTATTTTTCAGGTTTCTATCACAGATTGTTTCAAACACATTCAGCCTAGGTGGAACTAAAATTGCATACTCAGCTAAAATTCCTCCTCAGAAGGTTATCGCTTAAAGGAAAAAAAAAAAATTTGCAGTTTATTGCACGTCTCAAGATTTTCTAATACAATAGCGTAGACTTTATGAACAAACTAAACCGAAGCAAAAAACAAACTCACTGCCGTTGAGTTGACTGCGACTCACAGTGACCCCTCCTTGGGTTTCCAAGGTGGTATCTCTACGGAAGTAGAATGCCCACTCTTTCCGAGGAGTGGCTGGTGTGTTTGAACTGCCAGCCTTCTGGTTAGCAGTCAAATGCCTTAGGCACTATATTTGAAAATACTCACCAAGCTTAATTAGAGGCTTGAAAAACAACCAGTATTTGAGTAGCTCAAAATCATCTCAATTTCTGGCTAACTGTCATCATGAACCACTGCCTCCTTTGCCATGACACCAAAAGAACTGCATGGTGCCCAGCTACTATTTCTGAACATTTTGATCAAAAATTCTACAGAAGCATTCTGATCAAAAAGGAGAAAACACAGAAAAGAACTTAAAATTCTCATGGATCTAGACTTTCTGAAGCCATGGAGACTAAAAGAACTCTCAAAACTACTGTCCTGAGGTGAACCTAAAACCAAAAATATCCCCTGAAGTCATCTTAAAACCAAACTATAGTTAAGCTTAATTAGTGAAAAAAAAAAAAAAAAGTCTGCCTTGAGCACTGTGCTCTTCTAAGAATTATCTGTGGGATAATATGGGATAATATATGGGATAAAATTGGCAACTCAAAAGACAGGATAGTTAGGAGACAGAGTTTATGTTAATGGAGCAGGAACAACTTGGAAAACGAGGGTAAGAATGGTTGTACAACTTGAAGGATGTAATCAATGTCACTGAATTTTACATGTAGAAACTGTTGAATTTGGGTATGTTCTACTAGGTATATTCTCAACAACTACAGTAAAAAAAAAAATTCTATTTTAAAAATACATCCTAAATAAGAGAAAATAAAAAGGACTCCAAGATGTAAGATTAAAAACTGAGCAACTAAGCCAGCTTAGCAGCAGGTACAAAAAGTTGGTAATCAATAATTCAAGAAACCCATTATTTCTATTGTTGTTGTTAACCATGGAGAGTTTGCTCTCATTTCAGGGAGACCCACGCAAAACACTGCCTGGTCCTACAGTATCCCCATATCACTCGTGGATGAATCGTTTTTATCCACAGAGTTTTCATTGGTTGATTTTCTAAAGTAGACCGCCAGGCATTTCTTCCTATTCCAAGTCTAAAAGCTCTCCTGAAACCTGTTCAGCATCATACAAATACACAAGCCTCCACTGAAAGATGGATGGGTGCTGTGCATGAAGTGCACTGGCTGGGAATCAAACCAGGTCTCCGTGTGGAAGGCAAGAATTCTAACACTGAGCCACCACTGCCTCCATTACTTATATTAACACAGTTTGAACACTTTCCAAACTAACTATTTTTAATATATTTGCTATGATGATAAATTAATGAAATTTTAACTAATTCTCAGAAATGCCCACTAAATATTCTCATAGTCATGAATACTGAATATTTTCTTAAGAAAATATTAAAAAACTCTTACATTATCAATGTAATGTGTCACTAAGTCATCAGCACCATTAGGAATGCCCACTGTTACTGGTCCACTTAATAGTAAAGCTACAGATATAATCTGTCTTTGAGTGTAAGTATTAATGATTATTTTATATGGTATTCATAATATTTTAAATATAACTGTTGCTATTAAAATATACCAAACGTATTATTACCTGATTTAAAAATATGATTTTTAAATTTTTAAACTTATATAATCTTTTTTTAATTTGTAAAGTCTTTCTCCTTATTGGTTCAAAATTAAAATACACATACACATATAAAAATGCTATAAAACACAGATTTCACTAAAATGCCATTATTTATCTAGGCAGAAGTATTAGGAAATGGAAGAGCTACCATCCCAAAGATATATCCTTTAGCACTCAGTTAATTCTGTATTTGTCTTTGATTATAGCTCCTCACTCTCCTCAGTACAGTTACATTTAAAAAATCACATTCACCTTATATTTTACTTATAAAATTAACCTTACAATATTACTCCTGCTATATAGAATTCATTAATTCCTATCATCATTCAGAAAGTATTTAATAATTAAGAATTATTCTAGTTACCAGCTTTTCTTTATATTATCTGCATCTACTAACTTGCATATATAAAGAAATAACAAGTTTTATAAAGCAAAAAGTAATGCCACTTATTTCTTATCAGTTTTGCTTTCACCCTCATTTTCACAGGCTTTTTGTTTACTGGAAGGAGCTCTGGTGGCACAGTGCCTAAGGATCTGGCTACCAACTAGAAAGTTGGTGGTTTAAATCTACCAGCAGCTCTTCAGGAGGAAGATGGGGTAATCTACTTCCATAAAGATTTAACCCCTCGGAAACCCAATGGGGCTTGCTATGAGTCTGAATCGACTCTACGGCAGTGAGTTTGGTTTTGGTATTGTTTAGTGAAGCAAAATTTAAAACCTACTACACAGTGTACATTAATATACAGTTTAAAATAATTTGGCATAACAAATTTTAATACCTATCATACTAAAAAATGGTTATAAAAATGCCCCTACTAAATAATCTAACTTTTTAAGTTGATCTCTGCCTTTAGTTCAATGCTTTTCTGTTTGCTTGTTGTGCACGTGCACACACATCTGTGTCAATAACATAAAGATCAACTTGAAATCTGTACATTAAAAAAATTCTGTTTCTACTTTTTGTTTAATTTGCTTTGTTTCAACTATACAAAATAATCTTTTTCCTTCTAAAGCATAATAGTGGTCTTAACTGGTTTAATCTGCAAGCATTTAAACTCAGTACTATCAATTATTATAGTAACTTTCAGGAGAAATATTCTTTTATTTACTACTTCACAATGATCTGAGGTAAAAGCTACTATGCTCTAAATAACTCAACATAGAGAAAACACAACACAACACAAAAACGTAACATAGAGAAAAACACTTGGGGTTAGTTGTCTGGGGTTACTGCACTGATTGATTTCTTAGGTCTTTTTCATGTTTAAAATTCAATAAAAAAATATGAACAGAGACTGATAGGGAAGATGTATGTTTAGAAAAGTGAGTTAAAGTCTGAATGAACATGTTGATAGAAGGATATCCCATAATTAAAAAGAAAAAAAGGTAACAAATAATTCTTGGTTTAAAGCACAAGAAGAAACTAAATTACCACATGCTTCTGCTAACCAGAAGGCTGGTGGCTCAAACCCAACAACCACTCCCTTGGAAGGAAGGTTGGGCAATCTACTCCTGTAGTGATACCACCTTGGAAACCCAAGGAGGGGTCACTATGAGTCGGGATCGACTCAATGCCAGTGAGTATGAGTTTGAGTTTTATCACTGGTATTTAATAAGCCAAGTACCTCCATGAGTAAGTGGGATGGATATACTGGTAAATGCTTCAAGTTTGTATAACACTAGAGAATTTATCTAATAGTTTAAATTTTTCTCACAAAATTATGTAAAATGTAAAATTAAAATATAAGATCCCTATCTTTATTGTTAACACTTTAATTTTAAAATTTTGTAATTATAAAATGTTTATTGAATATTTTAGCAAAACAAAATTTTTAAAATCCACCTATAATCTCATAGTACAGAGATAACTTACTATCAAATTTCAATTATAACCTTATTTCTGCATCACTTATACAAAATTTGGTACTTACATCTTTGCAATCTTCTTTTGTGCAGCTGGTTTTGATGCGAGTATCAAACCATCTAACAGTTCCATCTTCACCACAAGAGAGAAAAGTATAAGGATCATTTGGTACAGTCATAATCTAAAGGGGAAAATGTAAGTATGATCTTATTTAACATTTAAACAAATGGCTTTGAAAAATAATTACTCTTTTACAAAATGATTAAGGTGAAAGCAACTAAGAATCATTTTAATTATTTATGACTTAACACCATCGTTCAAAACAGTACTATACAAATACAGTGATTGTTGAACCAATTATTTTGAAGCTGGGAATCAATATAACTTAATATAAAAAGTTCTTTAAAAATATAAATTTTTAATACCTTTGATAAGAAAGATTCTCTCCTACATAACTTGCTCAAATTATTTAAAACCTAATATTTGCAATTTCTGCATGTGAATTTACAAGTGTATTAAAAATATATTATAAAATTTTATTCTCTAATAGTGTTTATGAAAATTGTGGAATACTGAAATAATTTAAGAAGATACATTAATCCTCTCAAAAACTTTTAAAAATTACTCTTACATAAATAAACCTTATTATATAAATGAGCCTAACATGCCCTCTGTGTACTGGCCCCAGCTTGGGTATTATTCCTAACACACACAAGCCGGGCTTGTTTGTCCAAAAAGTCCACTGGCACCAAACTCAAATTTTTACACATGCAACTGTTTTAGGAATAGCCCAAGCAAGCAGACTTTTAATCATTTAGAGCCGACCTGTTTTACATACTCCATGAAATGGCATTCAACATCTGCTAGGCTTAGATAAGATAAAAGGGTATAGCTAAAAACACCCCAAGTCACAGATGCCCTTAAGAGTTCTCTGACCCAGAGATTCAACAACTTCCTGCAGAGGGACATCACTTAAATACACATCTAGATCAGAGATCACAACCATCAAGTCCCTTGTGACTCATAGTGACCCCGCCTTGGGGTTCTGAGGCAGTATCTCTATAGAAATAGATTGTCCAGTTCTCCTTCCAAGTAGTGGCTGGTGGGTTTGAAACGCCAGCCTTCTGGTTAGTAGTCAAATGCCTTAGACACTATGCCACATTTATCTCTCCTCTTCCCTAGGGCTTTCCTTGCCCTCTTCCTATTTTGGTGGCTCCCTGTACCTCATGCCTCTGAAAGGTCTCGTGCTGTGGGGGATCATCCCCTGTATGTTAGTTGTTAACTTGTCTGCGCTAATAAACACCTTACTGTGCAACACTGCTATGTGTGGACATCTCTTTCCTTGATAAGCCCTGAAGTCCCTCAAACTCACTATGAGCCTTATTCCTATAGGATCAAGTTTTCAATCAACATGGAATAAATAATAAGATTTATGCCCTGCCAAAAAAAAAAAAAAGAAAATTGTAAAAAGTACACTCAACATGAATAGCAGATAGTGTGGTTCAAGAAAAATAAGACTTTTGACTCACTTCATATTTGTGAGAGATGTAATTAGTAGTTCTACCAAAACAAGCCAGCAGTTCTAAAGAAATATTAATGCATTTTGTTGCTGCCTTAGTTTTCATGACTATTAATTAAAAAAGTGACTTTTCACTTTGTATACTACTATCTATGGACCAAATTATTAGGAATATGTATTCCCTGAGAGCATTTATTTAAACAAACTGCAAAAATTTACTTCCTTATGCTAATTAAAAAATTATGAGTTGCATTATCATAATGCTTCTTTAAAATTAAATTATTAATACAAATTTCTAATTACAACCAGTGTTTTGATTACTTTTTATAATAACATGCTATAGAAATCTGCATTACTTTAGAACGCTTCCTACCATTTAAACCTTCCTCAAGAAGGTAGAAGACAGAAAGAACATTTCAAGAAAAAATGGCTGAAAACTTCCCAAATTTGAAGAAAAATATTAATCTGCATACTCATGAAAATCAACAACTCCAAGAAAGATGAGCTAAAAAAAATCCAAACCTGAGCACAACATAGTCAAAATGACAAAAGACAATGAAAGAATCTTGAAAGCAGCAAGAGAAAAGGAACTCAACACACATAAGAAACAGAAACCATAACTAAGACTAACAACAGACATCTCACTAAACTCCATGGAAGCCAGCAAACAGTGAGACAACATATTCAAAGTGCTGAAAGAAAAGGAATACCAATGAAGACTTCTAAAGCTAGCAAAACTATCCTTCAAAAATGAAGGGCAAGTTAAGATATTCCCAGATAAACAAGAATTGAAGACAATTCATTACTAGCACACATGAGCTACAAGAATATCAAATGGACAATACTCAAAGAGCACTGATAAAGGTAAACCATTGTCGCTGTTTTTCTGCACCACTGAATTGATTCTGACTTATAGCATCCCTACAGGACAGAGTAAAACAGCCCAAAAGGGTTTGCCAGGCGATAATCTTTATAGAAGCAGACTGTCATGTCTTTTCCCTGCAGAGTGGATGGTGGGTTCAAACCACCAACCCTTCAGTAATAATAAATATAAAAGACAAAGGCAGAAAGCATTATGAAACTGTATTTAAGTTTATAAGGATGGAATTGATGGCAAAGATGCTAATAAAAGTACAATACAGTGAAGGAGCTATACTGAAGCAAAGTTTTTCATATACTATTGAATTAATTCAATTAGATTGTTCTATGTTTAATGTTAAGATGTTCACTGAAATTCATTCCTATGACAACTAAGATAATAATTCAAATTAAATATATAGTAAAATAAACAAGAAGGAAATTAAAATAGTATGCTAGCACAAAAGAAAGCCGTAATGCAGAATACTGGGATAAAAAAGACACAGGCCACATAGAAAGCAAGTAGCAAAATGGTAGCTGTAAATTGTACACAATCAGTAACTACATTAAATGTAAATGGCCTGTATTTCATAAAAGTTAAAAACTTTTGAACTTCAAAGGACACCATCAAGAAAATGAAAAGATAACCCACAGAAAGGAAATTACTAGAACTAGTGTGTTTAGCAAGGTTGGAAAACACAAGATCAATAATAAGATCAATTCTATATGTGAATATTTTAGCAACAAACCATCAGAAATGAAAATAAAAAAAGAATAATATCTGCAAAACATCAAAAAGAAATACTTAAGGCTATATGTAACAAAAAATGTGTAAGACACACACACTAAAAATTATAAAGCATTACTAAACTAAATTAAAGAAAACTGGAATAAAGGCAAGACATACTGCCAGAAATTCATGTCAGATTGAGAAGAAGTGGAATGAGAGGTATCATTGCTGATGTCAGAAGGATCGTGGCTTAAAAGACAGATGATCAGAAGGATGTTTACCTGTATTTTATTGACTATGCAAAAGCATCCAACTATGTGGGTTGCAACAAATTATGGATAACACTGTAAAGAAAGGGAATTCCAGGCACTTAAATTGTACTCATGCAGAACCTGTACATAGATCAAGTCAGTTGTTCAAAGAGAAGAAGCAGATACTGCATGTTTTAAAACCAGGAAAGGTGTGTTGTCAGGGTTGTATCCTGTCACTATACTTATTCAATCTGTGTGTTGAGCAAATAATCTGAAAAGCTGGCCTATGAAGAACGTGATAACAAGACTGCAGGAAGATTCACTAACAACTTGCAAAATACAGATAACACAACTATGCTTGCTGAAAGCAGAGAAGACTTGAAACAGTTACTGATGAAGGTCAGAGACTACAATCTTCAGTAAAGATTATACATCAACTTAAAACAAAATTCCTCACCACTACAACAATAAACATCATGATAAATAAAGAAAAGATCAACACTGTCAAGGATTTCATTTCACTTGGATCCACAATGAACACCATGGAAGCAGCAGTGATGAAATCAAACAGTGCACTGGGCAAATGTGCTGCAAAAGACTTCTCTAAAGTGTTAAAAAGCAAAGATGTCATTTTGAAGACTAAAGTGGGTCTGACCCATTGTCTCCTATACAGGCAAAAGCTAGACAAATGAATAAGGAAGATCTAAGAAGAACTGATGCCTTTGATATATAGTGTTAGCAAAGAATATTACATGTACCAAAGACTGCCAGAAATGAATGTATCTGTCTTGGAAGAAACAGAATGCCCCTTAGAAACAAGGCTGGTAAGACTCTTGTCTCGCATATTTTGGACAGACTATCAAGAGGGAACAGTCCCTGGAGAAGGACATCATGCTTAGTAAAGTAGAGAGTCAGTGAAAAAGAAGACCTCAACGAGATGGAGTGACACAGTGGCGCAACAGTGGGCTCAAACATAGCAATGACTGTGAGGACGGCACAGGACCCAGTAGTGTTTCATTCTGTTGTGCATAGAGTCACTATGAGTCGGAACCAACTTGATGGCATCTATCAACAACAACAAGATCTCATGTTCATGGAGTAAAAGATTTAATATTAATTTGTTAATATGTCCGAAATTGATATATAGATTCAATTAATCATGATGAAAATCTCAGTAGGATTTTTCATAGAAACTGGCAAACAGATTCTTAAATTCATATGGAAATGCAAAGAACCAAAAATAGATTAAACAACTTTGAAAAAGAAGAACACGATTGGAGTACTTGTACTACGGGACTTCAAGAGTTACTATAAACCATACCAGTTGCTATCAAGTTGATTCTGATTCATGGCAACCCCACGTATGTCAGAGTAGAACTGTTCTCCATAAGGTTTTCAATGGTTGATATTTTGGAAGTAGATTGCCAGGTAATTCTTCCGAGGCACCTCCAGGTTAATTCAAACCTTCAACCTTTAGTTAGCAGCTGAGTGTATTTATTATTTATAATCAGTTGAATGTACGTAAAGATTATCCTCAACAATGTGAATGGGTCTCATCCAGTTGGCTTTAAAAGCAAAAACTGAGGGTTCCCAAAGAAGAAATTCTACCTCAAGACTGCAGCATCAAATTCTGCTTCAGTTTCCATCCTTCTGGCCTACCCTAAAGGTTTCAGGATAACCAGCTCTGACAATCATGTAAGTCTCTTTAAAATAAATCTATTAATATCTATCTACCTACACAGAGTCACTGTACCAAAAAGAATTGATTAATACTCATCCATTTCAAGAGGTGGCATATGATGAAGAATCAGTGGTACTGAAGG